TCCCTCTCAAGCACGTGCTTGCTCAGTTATCTCCTCGGCTCCCCTCGAGCTTGCGCGCTGATCTCTGCCGAGCTTTCCCAATCAAGACGGCCAGCAAGCAAGGTCGTTGCATCCGACAGCCTGTCTAAGAGTCTAGACTGTTGAAAGTTAGTATCCTTCGGTGCGAGCGGGGCCTACCGGGCCTCTGACCATCTTCACCTCAGATGAAACAGCCATGGCCACACTCGGCGGAAATTCCGGACCACAATGGTTATTGTTCACAGAGTACCTGCTGCTATTTCATTTCGGAGGCTGAGCTACGAGCAGTCGATATCTAGACCTCGCGCTACCAAGCCAAATACAAGAGAACAAACGCAGGGAATGCATCCCAGGTGCATAGAGATCCTTGTGTATAACGTGCACTTTGTCCTGGTCGCCAGGACTGTCTGTCAACCGCCTCTTCGATTCACAGCTTGGTGTCGGTTGTGCTTTCTGACTGCAAGGCCGAGCCATGTCATCAACCCAAGCTTGGGACCCTGGACAATGTCGGCAACGTGTCCTTGAGCATCGCGGCAACATCCGGAAAGTCCTTGAACAAATCGTCGGCCGTGGTATTGCCTCACGTTCAAGTTCCAGAAGCACAATGTTGCTCCAGGCTTCAAGCCCATTGATTCTACAGTATCAGAAGTGTGCAACGGGCTGCTGATGATGTCGAAGCCGTCACATTCAAACATGCCCACGTTCAGCTTCCTTGGCACATACAGAGAGAAGCATATTCATGGGGAGATGTCAGACCCATAGGCTTGCTCATCACAGCAGCGCAACGGCATAAAATTGAACGACTTGTCTGAAGGACTTGGATTTGGCTAAAGTCGGTCAGCATCCGGGAGCATGCTCGTGCTGGAGCGGATTGCACGGCTTCACACGAATCGTTGCAACAACCGTTTGGCCAAAAAACCTCCCTCAACTGTTGCTTTCGACCAGCAGACCCATACTTGGCTCCAAGGCACGCCATGGCGGCTACCATCCCTACTTCGTAGGTATTGGGCGTCACGCAGGAGAAGCAATACAGGCTCCCCGCCTGGCCTGCAAAGGAATTCGTTTTCTGCGAAACTACCAGTTTATGTTTGTCAGTCTTAGCTTGGCCTAGAAGGTCAATGTTGCTGACTATCACTCATTCCACTATGGTCTTGGGATAAAGGCCACTCCTGCAAGCATTTGGGGTGCCCTATCCTTAGACCAATCAAGACATGGCTGACCCAGTACTGCACCCACAACCGTTTACCCCTTCGGAAATGGATCATTCCATTGCTGTTGGTTTTACAGCTTTTAACAGCATCATATGATATTACCACCACCGCCAGCCCCCACCCCCACCAGCACAGGCACCGGCAGTGGCGGTGTTGGTGGTGGTGGTGCCGGTGGTACGTGGGCAATAGCAACAGGGACATGCAAATGCTGACTCCTAGCACGACGTCAACCCAGTGCAAGGTCTAGCCATGCAGGTGATACAGGCTGCCGCCTGCCTTCTCCCTTAACGCGTGGAAAGCATGGAAGGATAGCGAGCAGAACGGAGAAGCCCTTCATCACGACCTGACCCAGAGATCATCACGAACAGGCACTGTAAGGATGTTTTTTTCGGCAAACCACCGACGGCCTCACAGAGGCTCACCGCCGCAAGAGCACTCTGCTGTGAGCCGTGCTGCGGGGATTTGTTGAGACAGAACTCTTTGGAGCAGTGGCTTCTGAGCTTAACTATATGCCCGGATGAACAGAAGTGGAGACGTTTGTTTTGCTTTTTCGCTTGCGTACGGCGTGCAGTTCATGCGATACTACAACATTGAATACCTCAGCGACTTGAGGTTCCTTAAAGGTAGGATCCATTTCAAAAAACAAAAAGGTCTCAGAAGTCTGAGACGCTGTGAGCGCTATGTCGAATCTTCTGCACGACACTTCGGCCATGGCCTTGGACTCCTGGCCAAGACTTGGCAGCTGCTGGGCCCAGCCTGGCCCGGCCCGCGGCAAAGGTGACATCACAGCGAACTTCGCTTCACCTGTCAGCTCCTGGCATGGGCGAGGAAAGCGCAGAGCATGCAGGTGTCAAAGGATGCAAGCAGGACTAGAGGACCGCTTTGTGGTCAGAGCTTGTGCATGAGGGATGTTTGACAAGATGGACCTCAGGAAGTGCGATCCCAAATGCAAACGTGGAGGTTTACAAACATTCACGACGCACATCAGATCAGGTCAGCCGTTTAGTCACATGAAGCAGTGAATCAAATCCCACGCAGAAGCCACTGATGTCGGTGGTAACGCTACCGTAGGCCGTAGGCTTTCGAGGCCATAAACGCAAAGAGCTTTCTGGGTAACTGTCGTGTCCAAGCCGGTGCGACCCTTTGAAAGCAAGGACTGTTGCCAGCTGCTTTCTCAAAAGATGTGTGTGACCGGCGGCCCTCTGCATCTCAGGAGTAGCGAATCTTCTTGAGTGCCTCGAGAGGATACAAGACTTCGGTCCGAATGATGTACTTCACACCAGAGTGGATGGGTGAACCCTCGTGAAGCGGGCTATCCGGATGGTATCCGTGAGGAAAGACCAGAACGCCACCACGCGGAGTTCTCACAGCCACAGATGAATCATCTTCCAGCAGAAAACGCGTGGCCCCTCCCTCATAATCATCCGTCAACAGAATTAGGAAGGTCAATTGGCTATAGCGGTCTCCGAAGGCATCGTTCTGAAAGCCATTCTCTGTGACGCGAGAACCCGGCCAAGCTCCATCGGTATGCGGTTTGAAGTAATCGCCAGGCTGATATCTGTAGCAACGAAACTTGGCATTGAGGCCGACAGGCTTGTAGCCAGCAATCGTCGGAAGCAGATGCTCGCAGCGTTTGTACAGCAGCTCGTCCACGAATTCAGGCACACACAAGTTGCAATTCGTCATGTGGCGGAAGGAGTAAGGGAGTGAAACAGCTGCGTCCGTATGGAATCCAAGCTCTTCCAGGACTTTCACGAATGCTTCGCACTCTGCTTCTGACAGCAAGTCCAGAATCTGAAAGCCTCCCTTCAAGCCCTGAACATCTTGCCGACGTACATGGCTATGGTCGCTTGCTAAAGGGAAGGCCTGGTTTGGAGTGATCTCCGGCCGCAAAGCCCACACCGGCAGGTCATCGCGTTCCTGGCCATGTTCCCTGGCAGCCGCAAAGAACATCTCTTGCAGCTTTGTGCCGCTTGGGCCGCTGCTTGGGCAGGTGACTTCCGACGCAGCCACGGACATGGCTCGCAGCAAGTGACCCAGGCGCATCCAGGCCCGAGAAGGAGAGACTAAGCGACTCGATAGGAAGTGCTCACAGATCTAGTCTCAAGTCTTTACAACCCAAGGCCTGTTCTGTCTGATGCTGTTACAGCCTTTCACGGCCACGGCCATGGTCATCTTCAAGACAAGCTGCATCAGAGAATATGATTGGCAGCACTGCATTTTCAACTGCGTCTAAGAACCTGGCTCGTTTTACATCAATGTCCAGCTGCTCATCCGGCAGAAAGTGCAAGTGGGCTCCATGAATCCACGCGAGCAGCTGAAAGGGCCAAAGAAGGCTTTAAAAAAGCTGACGCAAATCTACTGCGATAGAGCCTCGTCCACGCGCTTTAAACTGCGCAAGCTGCCGCTTGGCATGGCATCGGCCGTCAGACATCTGTTGCCTACACTTTTGAGCCGTCGAAGGTTGCACGCCTATGTGTCCACCGGGTTGTAAGATGGCACCAAAACTGACACGTCTTCGTCATGCTCACGCTGGAGGACATGTCTCGCGGCAGCTCTCTTTCCACTCGCGGGCGCGCTGCAGCTTCTCCCGATGAGCCTTGGCCTGGCGCCTCGAGCCTTGGGCTCGCAGAGGTCCGAGTCCGAGGTTCAGCGGAAGGAAGGGGCATCTAAACCGGGCTCTGGGCAGCAAAGTTAGAAGGGCACACGGTTTCTCCTGCAAATTCACTCAGACAAGTGGCATTGCCCATTAACCCTTTCAGAATCTTTCACAGGCTAATTCACGAGTGCCAGTTGCGGCATCGTTCTAATCAGCAGTGACACGTTGCAGAGTCTCCGCAAGCCTTTACGGGCATAGGGCTGTAACGCAGCCTCATAAGTGCACGTAAGCTTGGATAGCTTTACACCCTTGTGGTAAAGCACGTATAGGAGCTCCACGATGTGCCAGGCTACCCTTCAGCAAATCAAAATGACCATGAAATTTTGAGTTTCGGAGTTTCGTGTTCTTGCTTTAGAGTGTAGGGGATTAAACGGGTCGGTCTGGCTCCATCGCTCAACATGATGCAAGCTGCGCTGTGGCATGGCCAGTCCCGCTCTTTGGGGCTCGGGCGCAGACGCGCAGAATTTGACGATGGGGAACCCTTGGGGCATGTTGGAGCCCTGCCCTTTGAAAACCCAAACGAAAGCCCGTAAACCCTGTTTAGTTTTTCAGCAACAAGTTTTGGAGTTTTCGCATACATTAAGGCCCTCGAGGACGACCTTCAGTCGAGTCCTCACAGTCCCTAAGGGCCCTCTTAAAGCTAACTGCAGCTAACTCCCATCCTAAAAGAAGCCAGCACCTTCAGCACGGGCATCTGAAAAAAAATATGCGGATCGCAGTCGAACTCTTTTTGCCGCTGCATGAATTTGGCATGGCCTGCCCGGACAGGAAGTGAAGGATGTAAACAAGCACAGGCATAATGAAACATGCGTTCGATTGATGACCGAGGAGGAAACTAACTTCAGAAACACAAGGGTAACGCATTCCAACTTGAATGCTTGCAGCCAGCTGGAGTTGTGTTGTGCGGAATTGCAGATGGCAGGATTAAGCATGTGCCGAACCCATGCCTAATTCCGTATCTCCCCCAAGATCAGCGGACACACCGGCCCCGTTTGTTCTCCCGAGCCTTCACCGCCATCGCAAACCATGACAGCCTCCGGCACCGGTAGCTTGGCCTGGCATGCCGTAACCCCCTTAACTCCAACCTCACTTTAGCATCCGCTGTCTGGCCTTCACTTGCTTTCCAGGTCACCAGGGTTTAACAATGGTGGCATGTCCTGCCAGGCTGGCATGTGAAGGCCGACATATGCAGTCTGCTTCCGAGGCCTAGCTGCTGCTCTGCTCAGCTTTCCGTCCTGCATCCGCAAGACCCTGTTGGAGTCGATCTCCTCGTAAGGTCCAAGGGCCGTCGGTCCCCTCCACTTCCTTGCTGCTTGAGGAAGTTGAAAACAACAACACTCACTTGCTCGAGCGTGAACGCCGCTGCTTTGCTGTCTTCAGCTGTCTTGTTTGAACTTCCACAGGTCGCGTGCCTGCTTTGAAGGCCCGAGAGGAGACTTGCCTGTGCTGAGTGCCATGACCACCCAAGTCTCGACCAAAGTTGTTGCGCGGAGACTGCAAATGACTGGGCGCGAGCTGTTGACAATTAAGCATCTGGCGCTCCTGGCATCGAAATTGATAGCACTAGCTCACTAGCAGTCACTAGCAGGCCCAGGCTCCGCAGGACAAAGGAGCCAAATGCCACCGTGGCAACACCTGACAGGTGCAAGGCCAGAACGCCAGCATGAGATCCGCTTCGAGCAGATAGGGTTCAGGTTATTGCCTGCTGTGGATGCAAGACAGAGTGAAGTGGGATCAGCCAGGGGGCTTTGCACTAAACTCAAATGTCAAAAGCTGACCTGGGTGCCAGATTGAATCTGGCCTGCAATCCCCATGGCGACAAATGCCCCCACCGCAGCAGTCCTGTTTTCAGCACGAGCTGGCAGACAACATGATGTGGAAACGCGCCGCGACCCCACTGTTGGAATAAAGCTCTCTCTACATGCAGAGCCATGCAAGGCAAGTAAGTCAACCTCAACCTCACATACGTATACTCTGCATCTTGTCATCTCTCATGTGCTACGATGGCCTCTTGCTGTAGCTGGTCGTTAAGCTAGGCAAGACTACCACAGGTCCAGCAATTGCTTCGGTCTTGTATGTTCTATCTGCCCATACAAGAGTTTCAGACTCGCACGATTCCCTCGAATGTGGCCAGGCAGCGAGTAGTACGCTCTGGATGACAACTCGTACTTCTTGCCGAGGATCTGTAACAGCTTGGAAAACGAACTTCATAAGATATATAGGCTTGAGGGATCTTATAGGCATTCCACAAATCCCTGGTGCTAAAGATGTTGATGCTGGGGAGCCAATCGGAAGAAAGGCTTCTATGTGTCGATATCCGTGAATCCACTAAATTAGTCATGCATTGCGTGGAGCCTCCAGAAACTATGGAATTATGCTATGCGGAAAATCCAAACAAACTGTCCTTCACTATTCGGAAGTTTCTGACATCCGCATATTTCGAGACTGTGCATGTTCAGGGGGTTTGCAACTGTTGGAAAATTGTCGGGAGCTGTTGTAACATGTTCATGATACTGATGGAGCTTGTGATCTAGGAACTCTAGAAATAAGCTTGTTACTACACTCGAAAGACTACTAAACAACATACCAATGGAGATTTGGTCGGAAACACTGCTAAGCTGATATTGCTAAGCTGATGGACGAGTGCTGCCAACAGCCCGTACTCGAATGCATGGCCATGCCACCAACACTCCTACTCATGTTACTCAAAAAATTGCTTGCTCGCATTACCGATTACAAAATAGCTGGAGCTGCTCATGCTTGCAATTCCGCCAAATCCAACCTGAAAGTATTGTTCGTGACAAACAGGGATCAATGCTGGTGCGAATACTGCACCTTGCTGATGAAGCTCATGTAGTTTGTTTGCGCTCTAAGGCTAGCAGGGTAGTAAATCAAACAGCCAGAGCCTGAAGCATTAACTGCATTGGTAACGTGGCACGGCCCGGCGGATGTTCTTCTGTTTGTTTCCTTTCTACTCTACTACTGTACTACTACTGCATTACTAGTATTACTGTAGAACTGTACGGTACCAGGCCTAAGACTGTCGACTATCGAAGGGAGTGTAAGTTGCAGGAAGAGTCTTCAACATGCAGAACTTTTCGTCTTGGTAGGTATCTCGGAGTGGTTGTAGTACAGTGGTGCAATAGTACAGAAATCGTATAGCAGTAGTATAATAGTAGCACAGGACGAGGGATACCTAGAGCTGCAAAGCGGGATGTGGGGATCACCAAAAGCTCGAAACCAAGCCCCGATCTGCACTACTAGCACCGTACTACTATTGTACTACTGTACTACTACTTCTACTACTACCCAAAAACCCGACCCGGGCACTCGCGGAGCACCGCAGTCCCTCCACCAAGCCCCCCAAACCCCGCGGACCCCCCAAAACCCTTCTAAGATAGTCAGGCCGCCCAGACCCCAAGCACAGATCTAGCGCAACAAGGTCAAGGCGGTCACTGGAATGGTCGGTCGGGGGGGGGGAAGCGGGGGGCTCCCCACTAAAGAAGGTGCCACAGTAATGTTAGTTGTGTGCGCACGACTGGCAACGGCAGGATCACATCAGCAAGATTGCCCGCATTGGCAATCGGCAGGATGGTTCCTCAAGTCTTGGCCGTTTTGGCATTAGGTGTGATGCGCTTTGTGCTACTACCTGTTCAAGCCTTTTTCGGAATACACCCATGCAAGGAACACACTCCTAACACGATATCTGTAACTCTCGCCACGTTTCAATAATCAGGGAAGACGAGCAGAAATATTCGTGCTCCTGGCAACAGTCACGGTGTTAGTCGAGAGTCGATGTTACCTGTACCAGTAAGCTTGGCAAAATCAATCATGATTGCCAGCACCGATCCAACATGGAATCTCAGGAAAGGGTGGGTCGGAGGGGGGATGCCAGAATGAGCTCCGCAAAGGCGGGGGTGATTGGGGGAGCCTTGGGGTGGCACTTAAACCTTAGAGCTGAGAGGCTACCTGGTCCAAGTGCTTGGTGAGCGCTTAGTAAGGGCCTAGCAGGGCCTAGCAAACTCCAAGTTTCTTGCAGTGAATACCTGCGCAAAATGTCCGTCCACTGTGTCATGGACGCGCTGATGCACACAGCAAGCTCGTGTGGACCGGTTTTCAAGGCCTCGAGGGCCTGCAAAGCACTTGCTGCTAAGCTCCGAGCTCTCGCCAAGTACTGGCTAAGCAATTGTTGAGCCACCCGGCCCCCAATATCTTCACGAAAAGTAGTAGGAGCTGCCGTCGTCGTAGGTGAAGGGAGCATATACACATACTTGGTCATACATGCATGTTACACATGCAGGTGCATGGTCTGGCATGTCCACATTTAAGCACCAGAAAGATACATTAACATTAAATCTTTTGGCTAGGCATCTGGTCAAGGAACTGTGAGCAGATTGACTGACAGAGTCCCCGTTGTGGCCGCGGTACCGCTAGGCACACTTCCTATGACATGATCTGCACTGCAACAGAAGGCCTTGTCAACCTTGCCAGGACCAGCTATTTTGAGCGCCACTTTCTTGTCGTCCTGGCTGCTGTGGGGACACCGTCTTTCTGGGCCGCCGTGTCTCTGTTGAACAATTACCGTTCATATCTAAAACACCCAGACCCAACTATTTTGAACAGCTTTGTGGCTTGCGCTTGCCTTCTCTAGGCCCTTGAGAACAGATACGACCAACTTAGTCAACGAGGGACAGTAGCGCGGTGAATATGTCGGGAAGACGATGGTGTCCCAGGCCAAATGTCCGCTGTCCAATCAAGCTGGCACCAACCGCATTGCTCACCAATATCCCCGAAGAATCATGGTATGGAGCTCACTGCCTCTGAGATGAACTTGGGGACTCCCGTTTGTTCTCGGCACGCCAGCCAGTCCTGTCGATCTGAAAGCAGAGGTGCAAAACTGGAGAGGCCGTTTATTGTCGCACACCACGACGTTTCATTGTGGTCATGGGACCATGTTGCCGCGGTCCTCCATGTTCTTGCGGGGGTGGTACCTCGGCACAGGATCCACCATGTCCTGCCTTGCAACAGCATGCCATTCCTGTGGGTGCTCCGAACCTCACTCCTTCATGGTGTGCGCACTTATGATGCGCTCCCTCTCCTGTCCTTGCCCTGTCCCTCATTCCTGGTGTTCCCTCTGTATCTTAATGAAACAGACGGCACAGTTCAGCAAAAGAAGGAGCACCAAGTGCGTTGGAGGGCACATCTCTCCATTGTGCAGCCACGGCACACTCCGAAGTACTGGTTCTCGCTGAAGACAGCTGGATCTGGATTCAGTTCCCAGCAGTGATGCTGGGCTGACTTGCCCCACTCCTCATCTCTGCGGATTTGCACGGGAGTGCAACGACTATAGACTCTGCTGGTGCAGGCTCCAAAAACATTCAAAACGTCGCAGTTTCATCCTCTTCCTCCTGCAGATAAACACGAGACGGCAGTCTAAGGGAACACGTCTTTGCTTGACTAGAGCAAGTTGGCAGCATTCCGTGTTGGTTCGGGTTGCTGGGAACATGCCGCAGGCTTTATGCATGGAGATCATGCCAAGGAGTTCACGAGCTCTGCATATACGACCCTCGACCTGAGGATTTGCGGAGCTAGCGAGCGAACGGAATTTAGCTCTCGACATCTCTCCAGACCAGGCTCTTTCAATTTCCTAAGCATCCCTGAATCCTGCTAGTGTTGGCACGACTGGCAGCATTCTGAAATCAGGTGGCGCACTCCGGGCATGTAAATTGAAAACGTCAAAGTCTTGCAGATTCGGTGAACCGGAGAGGCCACCGGTATGGGCGAGTGCACAACAATCAAACTCCCGACTCCCGACTTCTTGCACACTGAAGCTTTAGGCCACTTCTTCGCGCTAGCGTGCAGCTTGACGCAGTCGACCCTACGGCAGCTGTATTGCCACTCCAAAGGTGCGAGTTTAGCACCGCTGCCTGCCAATCTTTGCTTTGCAAGGCAATGCGGAGGTGCAACAAGAAAGTAGAGCGAAACGTCGAGGGCAGCAAGCTGGGTTTGCCGAACAGCACTCAACAAATTTGTTTGAGGTGGAACGGTAAAGCCCAGTCTGGATGCGCAGCGGCGGTTGATGACCAATGCAACTGGGATTCATACTCGTCGTAGAGCAGCGGAATGTCCTGAACTGAAATGCAAGGCCCCTGACATGCCTGACACTGCACTATTGTGGCTATACTATACTCATCATATGTCTCACAACTCCGAAGTTCTTGTGATCGAAGAAAAATTTACATCCTCAACCAGAAAGCTGCAGTCAAGGCGCGTTGGTTTTCACCGCATGGATCTTAGAAGGCAAGCGATCGGTGGTGCGGAACTGCATCGATGAGTTGTGCACATCCGAAGAAGTGCACAGTGCATGTGAACGGAGTGCATGTGATAAAGTTTGGGACGCTGTAGCATACACGGGCTACAACATTGACGCCGCTTCCTTTTCGGGCGGAAGGCTCGCGCCACAACAGATTCCTGTAGAGCTACGCAGGAATCAATTTGTTGGTCTGAGCTCCTGGCTCCCAGCAAAGCCCAGCACTTGTTGACCCAGAAATCCTGCCGCAACTCTGTCTGTCCCTCTCTGTGGTCCGAAGATGTCTGAAGGCATCTTGTCCAGGTGGAGACAGCAGTGGGGAGGTACGAAGGATGCGTGTCATCCATTGCCCCGTCCTCACCGTACATATTAATGTCGATCTTCTTGAAGCCTGAACTTCCGGCTGCGCACAGGAAACCCTCTGACAACCGGCAATTGGGAGTCAATGCTCAGTGGGTTATACCACTTAGATTACACTTCCGGTGCACGTGAAAACACTTGCCAGGGCCCTTGCACTGCTCCTTCGCGTCCCGGAACGCATACCTTTGCGTTGGTGAGGCATGGCAGTGGATGAGCCGACAAGTTCGAGCCTGCGAGTGTTCCACCAGCCGTCATCTGTCCGCTTCACGCTTGGAGCTCTCGGTGCCACGAGGCTGCAAAGCACCACAGCCTCCTAGTCCTAGTGCACGTGAAACGCAGAGCGACACACAGATGTACACAAACGGAGGCAGTCAACACAAGAACAGAGGGAACGAGAGAGAGAGAGAGAGAGACACGCAGGGACCCGCAAAGAAACAATTACAACAAAAGCCGTTGCGAGGTGTTGTTGACGGAGGCTGTCTTCGGATCATCTTCATGAGAAGAGGAAATATCGCTGAAGCAGCAAGCATTAGAGGGCAGGACGCTAGACTAGATCCCTGCCAGTGTCAGTGGTTGCAACATGATTCAACAACACCCCTGTCACATGCGCCGAGGGTCATTCCCTGCAAGGAGATCAGCTCTACAGGCCCGTGGAGGAAGTTGCCGTACCTGGAAAGCTGCATAGACAGGAAACGAGTTTGTTCGCTGGCCCCCTTTTTGCCTTGTGATTGTGCAGTCTGCTCGGCAGGGATGCTCTCGTAACAAGCAGTTAAGTGAGCTTCATGATTTTGCGTGCTTTTCCCTTCAATCAAGGTCATGATTCGAGGTTGCTGGGATGCTCGGAGGCCGTGAAGATCAAAGGAAGACCTGAACATCGTAGAATCAACATCCCCGACAGCTGTCTTTCGCTTCCGTTTCAATCAGTCTCACATCGACCTCTCCAAACAACAAGTTCCGACCGTTATTCATATTGCTATGCAGTCAGTTAAGGTGTTGTGTGAGTGTCACCACCCCAGATGCCGATGCTGGAGCATGAGTACAGCAGCTGGGGCAGGGCACATGTCGTGGAGCGAGTTCCTTGGTGTTTCAGTCTTCGAGCCTGTACAGGAGTACATCGCTGGATGAAGACCCACGGGCAACTTCCGCTTGGGGACCCCTCGGCCACAGCAGGTCTTCTCAAGGAGTGTTGTGTCTAAGTCTACTCTGCCAGGCGTCAGGAAGTACTCCGGGCGAGTCGGTCGGGAAGCCAAAATTCCCGACAGCCGCTTCGGGAGGATCACTGCCTTTGCTGCTTGCTGCGACTTGCAGCGTGCATGCCTGCACTTTTGCAGACTATTGAGGAGCAGGCATCTTTATGGATTGGAGGAAGGGAAGGGGCATCAAACAGAACGGAGGTCTTGTGCCTACCGCATCCACATGACATAGAAGAACCTCCAGCGGGGCATGTTCACTCTTGTGAAGACAGCAGGCATCAACGTCCAGCTTTGCCGTGTAGTCGTACTTCTCCTGGGCACGCTTGCAGAACCTCTTGAACACAGTACCAGGCTCAGGGTAGCAAAGCACCAGTATTCTCAAACTGTGAGCCATGATCAGAGTTCCGTCATAGGCCCGTCAGGGAGATCGGCCGTGCAGGCGAGACTCGAAACTTCCGATGCGGAAGATCGTTTCCCACACCTCGGCAGACTCTTCCGTAAATGAACTGGAGACTGGGAAGGGAAACCCAGCGCCCTGCGTGCTTGAAGATGGGGGCATTGGCAAGGTGGAGCATGATCCTGAGAAGGTCGGTCTTTCACAAGCGTCGACAGACCAGAGCGGAGCATCTTTGCCAACGAGGATCGCATTTTCCCCCTGGTAGAGAGGGGAATTCGGGTCCGTTGCCGGTGAGGAAGTGTCATGCCCTGCACAAGGGGCCAATTTATGAATAGAGCACAGTGCTAAATTTCTGCTCAGCACCAGAATCGGGGTGTGGCGGGCGTGGTGGTGTCCACTGGGAGTGACACACTTTCTGTAGGTAGCCTCAGAGGATGCTTGGGTGTCCGTTTGACATATGAAGAGGGAAATCTGCAACATGATCAGAGGTTGCGAATATCCGCGTATGAATTTCCACATCCTGGAATTGTGTTATCGTTTTGTTTCTTGTCATCGCTTACCAATCAAGCCCCCTAATCTTGATGTCTGTACAACGCTGGTACAGGTGACCCATTGAGTCCTGGTCAAGAGAAGGGTCTAGGTGCAAGGATGTAGCCGAGCCTACTACAGACCGATCGTGCAGAAAAATGCTATGGGCCCCGAGTGAGGAAGCCTACTTTTTTGAATGAGCGTTAGGAAACACCCACACCCGATTTTGGTCCCTGGACTCGACCCCGAAAATTCCTGGATGCAAGCCTATGGTTGCACATGTGATGAAACGTACAAAGCTCTAGGACAGCAGGATAGCACTATGATCCACAACTGTACGGTGATATTGTTTTCCAGCAGCTGAAAGAGCACGCTGTCAGTTCAAGTGTGGGTTTCAACCCGAGCAACCACCGGCATCAATTCTGTTCTTGTCATCGTGTTCCATGCAAAACCAGCTACTGCTCCAGGGAATCAATCGAAGACTAAACGATGAGGTGCAGGTTTTTTTCAAACAGTAAAGCAGAACTCATCCCAACTTTGCCGCCGACATTGTTGGATGTCGATAGCTTCAGCTGCAATCGCATCGCAAGACCAGGCCTATTGGTCCTTTTACCATCTTCGCCTTGGGTGCAAGGCAGGCTTTGCTCGATGGCTGGTCAGGCAACTGCTGCGAGAGACGACATAGCTGACGGAATGTGTATAGTAACTTGCAAAAGCCTGGGGGAAGGAACAGTTTAATGCAATCTCACTGGCCCGTGTTCCAGCGAAGCTTTTCACTTCCCTCCTGTAGCCTGCCCGAAACAACACCAAGCAATAGATTTGGGTTCGGGTTGCATAGAGGTGATGGTGTACCACGTGCACCTTGTCCTGGCAAAACAGGCGGTAAGGTACGAGATGACATATACGGATGACGGAAGTGGAGGAGCAGACTGCAGTGAGCTGAAATGGCGTACTTACGAGCACAATTTGACACTCTGCTCTTGCGAAGTCCTTGAGCATCGCTGCAACATCAGGAAAGTCCTTGAACAGCTCGTCGGCCGTGGTGTTGCCTGGTACTGCGTGTGGGAGTCTTCAGTGCAGGCGATGTCTGTCTGCGGCTGTCCCAACAAACGAAATTGCACAGGGCTGTCGAAACCGCTTTGCTGACATGCTGCTGATGACGTCGAAGTCATCGCACTCAAACATGCCCACGTGCAGCTTCCTTGGAAGGAAACGCATAAGTGGAAGGCATGTAGCTCATGGCACCTGCTTGAACACCCGCCTTGCAAGTCGGCTTGTGGCTTTAGCTTCACTTTTTTGTGAGCATTCTGTTTCTGCAGCTAATCAATCTCGGAGCACGCCAACACTCATTGCTGTAAGCCCCACGGAATCTCCGATCGCAGCACCTCCCCAAAGCCTGTATTAGGCATCAAAGGCGCGCCATGGCGGCCACCATCCCAACTTCGTATGTGTTGGGCGTGACACAGGAGAAGCAATACAGACTCCCTCCTTGGTCAGGGCTGACAAATGAAACAACGTAGGAGGACATCGGTGTAGACCTTAAACAGTCAATAAACGCCCATATCTCAGCATGGAGGGTACCTCCTCCAAGAACAGCTGGCAGCAAACCCAGAACGGCGGCGGCAAAGGAAAGCATCATGACCTGACCAGTCTGCGTTTGCATGATCAGGCTCTTGGGACTTTCGGACAACTGCCAGATACATGAATCCCTTGCAGCTACGTCCTTACCTTATTATACGAAATGCATGAACTGGACATGCATACTGGCTGTGTAACGGCGGGATTTGGCTATCTCATGCGCGTGCGGCGCCTCTGCGAATCGCGTGGAGAGGGGTCTTCTCGGCTACAAGATGCTGTGCTGCGGCTGATCAAAGCCAAATTCCACGGAAGTGCAGTCTGGAAGAAGCGGGCACCGAAACAATCCATGATGCAGCTGGGCATTCATAGACTACTTGCCCACGCGGCCATGTCACACCATGAATTGCTTGCGAAGCGGTATGCCATTCCTCAAATTGAAATGATGATAGCTTGAGGCAAGCATCCTTATCTTTGCGATTGAGACCATGTACAATGTACTCGGCATGCAAATTTCTGGCACCTGGCCTGGTCCACGTCGTAGAAAGACCTGTGCAATTGGACTGCTCTTCTGCGTTGTCGGCCAGGAAGAGAAAAGACGACTACATCCGAACCCCAAAGACTCCCTAAACCGGGAGGTCAAAACGACATTCCAAGTCAGGCTCAGGATCGTTTTGGCGAATCAGAGACGGCTCAAGTTTTTTCTTGGGGCAGGAGGTGCGCATCGCTTGACTTGTGAATGCCTGCACACATTCCACTGGTCGGCGTCCAATCTCCTACAAGCTAGCCCGGAAGTCATCCTAACTCTGAGTCTACACACCCAAGAATAAGGGCATTGAATACTCGATCTAAGATCGACACTTACACTACAAAAGCAAGGATTCTGGCTCCAGCTTTCCAGGGTTGTTGATGATGATCTGCAGCGCCGAGGATGGCGAAACTGGCATCGTCCTGGGTCTGCTGCATTTACATTTTCGAATCTAATGACAGCCTGGTTAAGCCTGTTCGTGTCAGGACCCTCGTGCCTCTTGGAAAACTTGCAACGGAGGTATTGGCTTCAGTCTCTCTTCCCGGGCCTCAGAGCTTGAGCAGAACAACAGAGCTGCGCGGGACAGGTCTCGTCTTCGACGTCCTACTTGAAGCGAAAAGCATCTTTGCATTGTGAGGATCTGAGGTCTGCTATCGGGTTTGTCTCGTGCCGGAAGTCAAAGGGGAACAGGAACCTGCAAGAGCCTCCGCGCTTGTCCAATGGTCTCAGAAATAACAGGACCGCGACGTAAGGCTGCTCCCGAGGAAGAAACGAGCAGTGGCAAACACTGAGGCTGCTGCTCACAAACGCTCAGGCGTTTCCGCCCTCGTTTCTTGGCGCTTCGGTTGCTTTTGGCCTCTGGCAGAGCATGTTGCTCGTCCCTATACGACTTCACCGAAGCTATCCTGTGTGAAGTGATAGCAAGGTTTCTTCGTCCAAGATATTTTACGTTCATACTCCGCACCGACATCGCTGTCGATGACACATCTGCAACATTAGTACGAGTATTTTTTTTGCAGTTACGAGGGTTGAGTTTTATTGCAGTAGCAGCCTTTACCTTCAACCATGGCCTTGATCACAAGAAGGTCGAGCACCTGATCCTAGGCTTGAATGTCACTGGCAGTAACTCCGGCGCTTGTTAACTTACCATTTAATAGCCTCTCGATTTGCCCATCTTGAGCGAGCTTTGGCATGCTGAACGACACTCGCTTTGGTTCCCGGCGGTCTTGTCGCCACTGCTGTCTGCAGTCAAGGGCAACTTAACAGGCACAGCTCCCACTGCGTTCACCGATTGCACGATGATGCGGATCAAACACTTCAGACCCTGGGGTCTTAATTTGGATTGTGATCAAGAGGGAAGTAAATGCATCCATGATGTGATGGCAGAAGTAGACGTGAAAGCCATGGGCGTGCTGCCGCCTGACGATCCCTCGGTCCTCGGCTGCTCGTCTGAAAGGAGCTCCTGCTCCTCATCCGAATCGAGGACCTCGCATGCTCTTCGGGAGCAACGAAGTCTTGTGTCGAAAAAATATGCTTGAGCAAATGAAGCAACTCTCCACTCGTCTTTGCATTGGATGCGGGCCAACTCCCTTAGGCTCGCTGCTTTCCTTCTGTCCAGGAGAGGACAGGGTTTCTTTTCATACTTACGAAGTTGTACATCAAGTCAAGTCTTTTTGTTTGGGTGTATACTGTAGAAGTTGCAGACGGATACAGGAGCTGTTTCTCAGTGCCGGAGAAGAATCCATCACGGCAGCGTCTCCCTCTCCTAAAAAGAAATGAACGGACTTTCATGTTGCCCGTCGGATTCGTGTAAGGATGTAGCGTGTCCTTTCGTGACTATTGTCCAGAGGTATGGAGACGTTGCTGTTGAAAGATGGAAAAATAAAACGAAAAGGGGCAACGCATGGGTCTTGGGTGTGGGGAGGGAGCACACATCCGTAGTTGTGTTATACAAAAATACATATTTTGGAGTTTTTGGAATTTCTGGAAATATTAAAATTGTCGGAATTTCACACAATTAGTGTGAGTTTTGGAACTTCTGGAATTGGCAAGATTCCATGTGAAAGGTTGGTCCAGGGGGGTGGGGCTAGCATATATATATATATATATGTATATATATATATATATATACGGTCACCCCCCGCCCCCCAAAATCCTTGCTTGCAGGCTTCATACCATCTCATGCTTATTTACATATACGTATACACTAGTCATAAGTACACAAGCCACCGTAAATATCGATATAATCGCCGTTTATCCTCGAATACATACAGCCGTGCTGCTACGCATCTTGTTTCGATGCATCGATAAATTTGTGGCCGAAGTTCGGCCAACAAAAATAACACTTTATGTATTCGGAAAGCCGAAACTGCCGGAAGGTATTGAATTTCATGTGCTGTGGTATTCAAAAACTTAGCGTATTTTGCATGTTTCGGTTGTGAACGAACTGCAACTATACATTACGGATTTTCTTCATAGGTGTCCCATCCCCAAAACCTACCATTCAATTGAGGACTTCTCGGATCTTGGGCTCCGACTGGTTTTCCATATTTAAAACCATATCTATAGGGTACTTTAGAGGGTATACTATAAGGGATTCTAAAGGATATCCTAGAAGGTATTGTATAGGTATTCTATATCTTCTAAGCACTATTCCAAAGGTTATTCTACAAGGTGTTGTAGAAGGAGTTTCATAAGCTATGTATTGGGGGGGAGGTTTATAAGACTCTTATGTATCCCTTACTAGATAAATTCCGATTTATTCAACGAGTTCCTAGATCTTAGGTTCTGAATTTCTTTGATATGAATCCCTTACCCAGTAAACCACAATCCAACTGAGGACCTTTCATATCTTGGGCTCCTCCTGATTTTTACTATATAAATGATTTTCTCTAAAATAGTCTTTAGAATATTAAGGGGTATGCTATAAGGTACATATAGCTGTTTATTCTAGAAGATGTTCTAGCAGGTGTTCTATAGCCTATAGGTTGTTCAGCAAGGTATATACAAAGTATATAGAGGGTATTCTGTAAGGTATTACCGTATCTTATATGAAACTTCTTTAAGGTATGTAAAAAAAGATGCTGGAAGGTATTCTACAGGCTATCCTTCTTTATTCCTCATTTCTTTCATGGAAATCCCTTGTTCAACAAGCCAATGGATCTTGGGCTCCTCTTGATTTCTTCTATATAAATCCTTGTCTATAGCGTCTCTTTCCGGCATTTTAAAAGGGATTCTCAAGGGTATATAGAAGGTATACAGGCGCTATCATGTATGGGGTTTTCTATGAGGCATTCTATAGAGTATTCCAGATGGTCTTTTTTGAAGCTTATGTAGGGTATATAGGAGAAAAACAGGGTATTCTATGGGGCATTCTATAGAGCATCTATTGGGTATTCCATAAGGGTTTCTATATAAGGTATGTATAGTTCTACAAGCTCAAGGGTATTCCGTAAGGTATATACAGGGTACATAGTATATATTCTACAATCTATACGATATGGTAATACTTGGGGTATTCTATATGAAATTCTTGAAGGTATATAGAGGGGGTATTCTATATAAGGTATTTGAAAGCTAGTTTTCTACTAGTAGATTCCTGATTTCCGTCATTGGAACCCGTTACCCAATAAGCTACAACTCAACTGAATTTTCCATGACTTTGTATGCTGTAAGAGATCAGTAGGCTTGGAATCACACTTGACACTTGATTGCGTACAGCTGCGCACCCAGCACATGTTCCTTGTCACTAGACCCTGTGATAAGCACTCGCTGGCGTAAAAACTTCGAGAAAAACAAGGTATTCTATGGGGCATTCTATAGGGTATCTTTCAGGAATTCCATAAGGAATGCTAAGCTATACAAGGTATATATAGGAAAGAAATCTACAAGGTATTCTTCTTGAAGCTCAAGGGTATTCCGTAAGGTACATGCAGGGTACATCGGATAAATCTGGAAATCTGGAATCTGGAAACCTTGGGGCGTGCAAATTTGGAATCTGGAAACTTAGGGACTTAGGATGTGCAAATCTGGAATCTGGAAACCTACGTC